ATGCATAGGATTCAGTCAGTCAACTGCACTTGCATGTAATTTTAATTAACAGCTACATGCAACACAGCTCACAACCTTTGACAATGCTTGGCTTAAGTGCCTCTTCACCCTAGCTTCAAAAGTGAACTCATCTGCGCAAACTTACAAGGAGCATTTCAACTAAATATATTTATATTTCGATTCGTTGCTTAAAGCAACTTGGGAGTGGATAGAGCAAAAATTCAGCAGCGTCACTCACTAACAATATTCCAAATTCTCAAATCAATCTTGCAGCCAGAGACGTGATGAAAATTGCGTGTCACATTTCACAAAGTAAATTCCGAGCAAAATGAGGGCAACATCCTCTGAAGCATGATGCTTCATCATGGATTTGCATCTGTTCTTCATTCATCATCCCGGCGATGTTGTTACATTTGCTATGCATGCCTGGACTTGTATGTAGGTCACTGAATTGTCGAACAGAGTTACTCAGTGTAGGGGCCAGACGCACTCCCCGGTTATCTTATCTCGTTGAGAATGCAATCCAGCTTTAAGACGGCATATGCTCATCGACGTTATGTGAAACATGACCTGTCCGTCTGTGAATCAGTCTGTTCGCATTGCGTCGCTGGCAAGGGCTCATTCTGACTGCTAGTAACTAGAGCGTGCTGGCTTGCATGATGTCCGACGTTTAGCTCCCCTAACTGACCGTGGTGTACCCATCCAAGCAGCTGGGTGCACAGAGGCGGGTAAAACGGTGCCCATTGTTTTAACTGCCACGCTGGCAGATCGAATAGATCCGGCAAACCTCTGGAGTGTAAGTCCAGTGTGCTCACCATTGCACCGTTGTTATAGTAACGCGCGTCTAGGCCCAGTGTGCTCACCATGGTAACCGTTATGGTAACGCGCGTCTAGGCCCAGTGTGCTCACCATTGCACCGTTGTTATGGTAACGCGCGTCTAGGCCCAGTGTGCTCACCATTGCACCGTTGTTATAGTAAAGCGCGTCTAGGCCCAGTGTGCTCACCATGGTAACCGTTGTTATGGTAACGCGCGTCTAGGCCCAGTGTGCTCACCATGGTAACCGTTATGGTAACGCGCGTCTAGGCCCAGTGTGCTCACCATTGCACCGTTGTTATGGTAACGCGCGTCTAGGCCCAGTGTGCTCACCATTGCACCGTTGTTATGGTAACGCGCGTCTAGGCCCAGTGTGCTCACCATGGTAACCGTTGTTATGGTAACGCGCGTCTAGGCCCAGTGTGCTCACCATTGCACCGTTGTTATGGTAACGCGCGTCTAGGCCCAGTGTGCTTACCATGGTAACCGTTGTTATGGTAACGCGCGTCTAGGCCCAGTGTGTTCACCATGGTAACCGTTATGGTAACGCGCGTCTAGGCCCAGTGTGCTCACCATTGCACCGTTGTTATGGTAACGCGCGTCTAGGCCCAGTGTGCTCACCATTGCACCGTTGTTATGGTAACGCGCGTCTAGGCCCAGTGTGCTCACCATTGCGCCGTTGTTATGGTAACGCGCGTCTAGGCCCAGTGTGCTCACCATTGCACCGTTATGGTAACGCGCGTCTAGGTCCAGTGTGCTCACCATGGTAACCGTTATGGTAACGCGCGTCTAGGCCCAGTGTGCTCACCATTGCACCGTTATGGTAACGCGCGTCTAGGCCCAGTGTGCTCACCATGGTAACCGTTGTTATGGTAACGCGCGTCTAGGCCCAATGGGCGGAGAAGCTTAAACACGATCGTAACCTGTCGTCTTCCATGGTGCTGCTGAAATGCCGTGGCGATCAAATGCGCGGTCCACAGACCAGGTGGACCCCAATTAGCTAATGTAGAACCTTATTAAGTAATGGTTATTGATTGGTATGGATTGAACTTGTCAAGTTAAACATTTGAAATACCCCACCATCTCTCCCGCAATAAATATAATAACTAAAATATTGTGGTACATTTCACCACACATTGTGGTACACAATAATAAACACTAATAATCATCAAATGATGAGAGCGTGAAAATATTCAACGTCATTTTCTACACATTGCAGAAGTTCTTTACTACATTTTTGTACAAAAAACCACGACAAATCTTGTGCAATATTGGGTACACTGGAAGAATTACATTGTTTTAATGTAATGCATTGTTTGCTTAGCCTGAAGCAACGTGAAACCTTTTCAGAGGACGGTGACAATTGAAAATTCCCTGCAAATTTTGTGCCTGGAGATCAATTAGAACATTCATATCCATTCATCCTGTCAACCTTGGTTCGTTCTTTAGATCGGACGTTTGCGTTTTCATTTTGCATTTGAATAAATTCAGGCCGTAAACATGCCCACATATTAATTAAACGCATTTGTTTTCTATATATGTAAATGTACAGATTTGTGAGGTGAGCTTGCAGGTAACGTCAATGAAGGCCGCATTATTTAACTACCGACATTATTCTGTGTACTAGTCATGGAAATGTTAACATTGTCATAATTGGCATGTTATAATGAAGCGAGAGTTTAATATTTTCTATCATCAGTAAAACATCACACATTAGGAATTTTTCCCAACGTTAATTTGCTTCGTTATATATATATAAAAAAAAAGTACATTGTACACAACCTCTAAAACAACATATTTCTAAGATATCTAATTCATATATTTAAAATATAAGTGCTAATTAAGAATGCCACCGTTAATAGAACCATAAACAAGATTATACATGCAGAGTATGTCCGTGCATCAATCGCAGTCAAAACCGCAAGGGCAAGTGAAAATGCAAACCATTAAGCGCTTTATTTAGCTGTTAATTAGTAAAATCCATGATCAAATTAAGATATCTGTGAACATGACTTGCATTGAAAAGCAAGCTTCCAGAGCAGCCTAAAGGAAATCAATATGTATAGAGAAATGGCATGTCACAAGGCCCACACATACATCTACCCTGCAGATAACTTAAGGCATCTGCCATTGCAGTCAAAAGCATCAGCCTCCAGGCCTTTACAATTTAAACGTGAAAAGAGCCTCAGTTACACCGTTACTTTTGCCCAAGGCGTGAAGCGGATAGATCAGCAGGTCAGAAATCTCGCCAATGTCACACTGATAAAAATACAAATTTGATTTTAAACTGCGCGCATTTCAAACAATGGCCTTCATTGAACCACACGTGGCACGCGCTGTGCCCCAAAGCGCATCTCATCGTTCACGTTCCTGCATCCAAAGCTCAGATTCAACTGCCGTCAACGTATTATGCATATTGAACTTCTTTCACACCGTACGTAGCCAACCGCGCTAATCAGAGGTGCGGGGGAAGGACAACAAACTAGACGCATAAAGCAGTTTGAAAGAAATGAGCTTTTCAATCGAGGTGATTTAAAAGTGAATATCTCCAGCGGATTCAATAATATCTGAAGAATGAAGGAGCGTTCCAGACGGGCGCAGGAGCGCGTACTGAAAGCGCGTGATGCGGTGGCCGTCTTTTGTTCGACGGTTAGGCGACAGCCGCCGCTGCGAGCGTGACCTGAGTTCGCGTGACGGCTTAGCTCCTTGACGAGGACAGTCCGATGTCAGTGAGCATCTCGCATCCTGCACGCGTACGCGGTCGGTGGGGGGGGGGGGGGTGGTTATCCTGTCTGTGCGAGCCGCTAGTCCACCCGACACAGAGCTGTTTGGCATGCACGGTCATGGGGCCGCTCACAAGCAGGCTTCATCCTCAAGTCAGCGTGCACACAAAGAAATAATGACCCGGGCTGCCTTCCCGTAAGAGGGCCAACGTAAGGCGAAGTCGATGCAGTTAATCAAAAGATTAAGAGATTCTCATGCAAATTCACGTGAGCTGCTCTTTGTTGCTGAGCGTCTGGCAGAATGGCGAGGAGCATTATTTTTTGCTGTTAAATATCCTCCTCAATCGTCGAGTGAAAATTGGAAATGGGGGCGGGAGGGGGGACATCGTGCTCTCTGCCCTACGTGCTTACGGGTGTTGAATATGTAATGTAACTCATGGCAGCAATGGACCCGTACCGTGGACTCACGCACTCGGAAATGTGTAAACGACAAGGGTTGAGGCACTTTGAACTGAGCCGCACGATAACTGGAATGGAAGTGAAGCATGTGAGCTACCAATGGGACCGTTAAAATCATGGATGATTAACTAGAAATTATTCAATGGTAAATACCAAGAAATTTAAACGCGCAGGGGCATACTAGAGGCACATCTCCCTAACAAATGAGAATCAATACAAACAATCACGTATGAACATCTAGCACATCGCAATGTTACGTACATACAGCTAATGCAACCAATCACTTGAATCACTGACATTGTGGTACAAGTGGCTCCTCCTATATTAAGGGGGAAAAAATTAAATTGCAACGCATTTTCCTAAGAGCAAATACACCTTAATGTGCGCAATCAATCAACTAAGTGGGTGGTGTCTTGGTAAATTGATGAGAGTGAGGGGGAAACAAAGAACGGACCAGGATGCCAAATGTAACAAGTGGACAGGGACAATCTCCTCTCGGAAACGTCGCGTGCGCACGAGGCCCCCAAAAAAATATTATTACGGCTCCATTTTCGTGCAAGTGTTCACGACGGGCTCAGCTGTCGTCTCAGAATACATCACCGTTATGTGTGTGTGTGTTTTTAAACTGGTCGCAATTGTGAACCACAGCCATGTGAGACATTAGTACATCTAATCATCATTTGTTCACTGCAGCTCAAAGACTTTGGCGAGCAACTGCGAGCAGGGTTCAAGGGTTGCTGACCCTTGACCCTCCAGGCACACTTGAGCAGTGTGGCGGAGGTGTACGCCATCCGTGACCTGATGTGGAAAGCATCCGAAGACTCATAGCAGCAGATCGTGCTCTCGTTGGGCAATGAGCCACTCCCTGAAGGGTGGGGCTGACCAGCGTTGTTTTGCTGTGAAACCTCCCACTAACCTTGTTGGGCGTCGTTGCTAACGTTATTATTTCCATCATTATTATTATTATTACGTGAAGCGTGCAGGCATTCGGGAACAGACATGATGAGGGTTCCTCAAGGTTTTTTTTTTATTTCAAACTTAATTTTCCGTGTACACGCCCGAACATCAGGATAAAAATGCAAAATGAAGGAGCAAAGCGAATGTTTAGTGAAGTCTGTAACTCCCATTATTCAGGGGCCTTTCATAGCTGCATCCTGCACAATGGAACTGCGGCATAGCGGTTTGTTCGTCCCCCCCACCCCCACTTGGATATGACGTACCAAAATATCTGTACAAATTGTCTTGAACAAGGGCCCATCCGTTTATGCAAAAGTCTTAGAAAAATATCCTCTGCAGTGGATCCGTTATTATTCATTTTCCCCAGTAATACTTCAAAAGAAAAGGAGAAGGTGTATCTATGGGAAAAATGGCACAAAAAGTGTTTTTTTTGACATTTTTTGTTAAAAAAGAGTGCAAAGCTCATAAGTTCAACATTATTACAACAAAGGGAACATTTTTTTTTCACCGAATACATAATTTAAAGATGATAGTGTGTTTTTTTTACAGTGATGGGAATGAAGTAAAATTATCTTATCCTATATATATTAAGTTATTAGCCCATTCACTTTAACAACCCCTAATCCTCATAACTAATACTTCTCTATAACTATCTATGCATTTAAAAGAGAAAGGAAATCTAAGCCTTAAACAACAGTGATAGCACATCGATCCTAAGACGTTTCAGGCGAGCCAGACTGCAAGTATATAAAAAGCATCATCTGAGTTTAAATTATAACCGTATTTACAAAGCAATAACAGTACCCTTATGTTTCCCAAAGGGGAATACAGCTTACAAACATCTGCATGAAAAATGCTTCAACGGCTAACAACAACAATGGGGTTATGCGGCTGCATGAAAAATTCAGCACGGATCGTTTATCATTTTTTTTCTCTCCCGAAATTCATCAAAACCAAAAGAGGGTACCCTGGCCGATGATGAACTGCATTTTTCTTGAACGCTTTGCACAATGAACTCTGGGACGATGGTGTGTTACCCCCCCCCTCCTCCCACACAAAAAAAAATCATGACAGATGTTTTGTATTTATTTTGTTATCACAAGCAAGGGCTTATTTTTTCATGTCATTTTCCACATTTTTATTAAAAATGCGGCCACGCGTGTGTGTGTGTGTGTGCGCCCTTTTTCACCGAATATCGAGCTCACATATTGTATGTGTGTAATAAATATCACCGTCAACCGATGACATTATGCATTATCTCAATTAAATAAAGCTCACCCGCTGGCTCTGAACAAAGAGCCAATAAGTTATTAAATAAATAAATACATAAATAGATAAGAAACCAAATAAATTAGCATTAATATATCCTTAATGTACATAGGCCGGATGAATCTTTAATATTTTTTTTTGCATTTTGTTATTTTAACTTCCATCACGATATATTTGTTCCCCCCCCCCCCCCGATCAAAATGTTTTTTTTCCTCCCCATCCGATTCTCAAAGATGTGTGTTGCACACATTGCTTCGCGCGCGAGAGCGTTCACGCGCACGCTTTGTTCTATTTTGAAAATGGACGCCTTTCTCAAGAGAGAGAGAAGAGAGGAGGGGGAAGAGAAATTGAGCGGTGGAAACAAAAGACGAGGGAAGCGCAGCGCAGCGCGGCCGGCAGGTGAACGGGAGTGGTGTAGCGAGCGAGAGAGATGAGAGAGAGAGATGAGATGACCTTACTCGCACGGTCTCCCAATCACACAGTAAGCCTCCTGCGGTATGGAGGCGCTCTTCCGACAGTGGGTCAGGCTGGTCCAAAACGACCTCCTCAGCTCCTTGTTGGTCACGTAGCACACGACAGGGTTCACGCCCGCCTGCGCGTACGTCATCCACGCCGAGAACGCCACGTAGCTCCCGGGCAGGGCTATCCCCTTGACGAACACCCGCAGGAAGCACGCCACGATGTACGGGAACCAGAGGAGCAGAAAGACGATGGCGATGATGTAGAACATGCGGCCGATCCTTTTCTCCACCTTGAGCTCGTCCAAGCCCAGGAGGCGCTTGTTCTGCACGGACGCCGCGTTCTGGCGAATGCCCACCAGGGTCGGCGGCGTCGGGCCGCGGCCGAAGCCGGCGATCCAGTTGGCGGCCGCCTGACCGGTCGCACCGGGGCCGTGGAACGTCCAGTTGTGGCTCACGGCCGGCACGAGCTGCTCGGGCCGCATGCGGCGGTGCTCGTAGACGAAGCAGACGAGCTTGAAGTAGACGACGTGCGTGGCGACGATGACGACGACGAACATGAGCATGAAGCCTAGCGAGTCGTTCGCCTTGAAGTAGCGGTGCTCGAAGTGGCATTGGTCCTCCTCGCGGATGAACTTGTACGTGCCCACGTCAAAGACGGGCGGGAAGGCCATGGCCACGGACAGCGTCCACGCCGTGCAGATGACGGCGACGCACGTCCACATCGTCACCTGCTTGGTGTAGAAGCGGTGGTGCGCCACGGCGATGTAGCGCGTGATGCTCACCAGGAAGAGGACGAACACCGTGTGGAAGGCCGACAGCACGGACAGGAAGGCCACGATCTTGCAGCCCAGCGGCTCGTAGGGCCACACGGAGCCGCGGCCCACGGCCGCCCACACGAAAGGGAAGCACACGGTCGCCCGTGCCGCGTCCGCAAGGCACAGATCCAGAAGGAAGAAGTAAGGGGCTCGGTGGAGGCCCTTCTCCTTGAAGACCTGGAATGCCAGCAGCAGGTTGCCGGAGAGGCTCGCGAAGATGATGAGGCCCATGGCGGCCAGCTTCCCTCCTGGCGGGAGCCCTTGAGCGGGGTCTCTTGGAAAAAACACGCTCCCCTCTGCTCCCTCGCTGGCGTTCGCCATGGGTGATGACGCCCACACAGATGCAGGGTTTGGAAGCCAACATCAAGATTCCGACCACAGCTGCCCTGCGCACACCAGAGCCACCGCTAGAACGACAATGATGATGGCCTTTTTTGCTTGCTTCTGCTGATGTTCTTATTGTGAAGAAAACGTAAACGAGAGAGATTCTGACCGCTCAAGATGAGTGCAAGATGTTTACCGGCGCCATATCCTCACTTGGAGGATTTTAAACCATCAACACATCTTGGTAAAACACACGAAAAGCCTAAACCATAGATTAAAATAACGAATATCCGATTGTCGATTGTTTTTTTCTTTATCTTCCTTTCTTTCACGATCTCACAATACGTCTTCAACTCCAATCATCCTCCTCGTGACCGACGTTTATGATCCTCCTATTATGGTCTGCTCATTAATTGAGACGTTCTGAAAACGAACAATAAAAAATAATCCGTGACTCACTGAGCGATCGCGACCACGAACACATAAAAAAAAATAAACGTATCGTTTCAAATATACAATTCCTTAATGCAATCGGAGCATCGAACACATCTCATGCCCACCATACGTCCATCATTTAACAGAAACGCACTGCGTGTGAGTGTGTGTGTGAATATAGAATATGTGGATAAAATATGCGCCGTTTACCTTTGCACAAAGGCAGACCAAGGGAGGGCTCTTGGAGAGAAAGGCAACGATCGTCTGGCCAGGCTCGAAGGCAGGGCGTTACTAACATCCCGACTGCTGCAGCCTTTGTTGTTCTTATCAGCATCCAGCACTGACACCCATACAGCAGCCCGAATTAACACGCACGGCTCCAGCTAACCGCTACAGCAATATCACCAACGCTAATATATAACTACAACAACAACAACAAAACGGGTACAGAAAACACGCACGTGTGTGTATTATATATGAGCACGCAAAAATTCAGTAACGGTACAATTTTTCTCGCCCGCTCACAAAAATATTCTGGTGCCGCTGCACGCCATGGCACAATATCAAAAAATGTGGCTTCTTCCTCGAGCCCCGCGATACAATAGATGGCTCTGGGTTTTAAAGCATATACGTCATTGCTCACGCGGAGTGGGTGAACGTGATCGAAAATCAGATGAAGCATAAATGTGGGATGTGGCTCCTTTACTGTGAGCCCGGCCCAGCCCAGCCCGCCACTGCCCCAGCCCAGCCCGCCTCTGCATCTGGATCAAAATTCAGTGCACAAGTCAGATTGAGTTGCATTCTAAATGAGCGTCGCTTGTGTATACGGATTCCAAATTCCAAATGCTCGGATAATATCATTATTCATTTGTTAAGAGGGCGGTGGGGAGGGTGTTAACAAGCACACGCACACTCGCGTACACACACACACACACAGCGCGCGCATGATTATATTATTATACGATTGTATATTTTGTATTGTTTACATTCTGGTGGTCAATGCCTATGGCAATGGGTATACATAATGATTCTGACGCAATGGATCCCGACAACATGTGAATCTAAATGTTTGCAAATATGTATGACATCCACATATATGTGTTTTATATTTATATACAGACAAAGACCATATACATACTTGCGTATTATCAGTACTGTAACATTTACGTGAATGAATACATTGTATATATCATAACATACCGGTAATTCAGTTCAATTAATATCAAATCGAAATAGTTGCGTGTGTGTATCCAATAGACGATATGTATACCGTACACACACACAACCATATTGCTATTATATTGCAAATGCATGGGACTATGTAAAGTGATTAGTTAGATTAATAGGCATTATCAACACATTGATCACTGGAGGCGAATAGCGTGTGGCTAACAAGAATAACGACAATTATTATTATACACGAGAATCCCAACATTCACCTCGGCACAGCAGCTTTCGTAGACTGGGGGATTAATTGACCTACAATTATAGCCCGCACATCCATCAATGGTGAGGAGGGGCTGGTAATCTGACACTCACGTGCCAGCTATGTTCACTGCCAAAATAAGACAACAACAACAGCAACAGCAGCCAGAGCTGCGACAAAGTAAAGACAGAGGCACGCCCATATATAGCTGCCTTGCGAGACTGTCTGTGTCTCTGTGGGGAGCGGTAGTGTAGTAGCGCTGCGCCACGAACCCCATTCTCGCTCACGGCCAACACCAGTGACCGGTTCTGGGTCTCCCCTAGGTCGACTCAGCCTCAAGTGACGACCTGGTGCGATGCGTAAACATTTCCGCTAGGGAGACAAAGGCGGCCGGGCGTGGTGCTGGCCACCCACCCACCCCCTCGTGTGCCACGGTGCCGGCCTTCATAGGTGCTCGCTAACAGCACTTGCCCCAACAGTCTGTCCAGGTTATAAGGGGGATCTTTGTCTTTGTGATGTTTCTCCGCCTCCGTGAGGAGCCGTTGTGTTGCGGTTCGTCGCGCTGCGCCACGAACCCGGCCGCCCTGGTTCAATTCCCGCTCACAGCCAACGCCAGTGGCGATTATATGAACCGGTCATGGGCCTCCCCTATGTCGACTCAGCCTCAAATGAGTACCTGGTGCGGTTTGTAAAAACATCGCCACAACGGAGACAAAGGCGGCCGGGCGTAGTGCTGGCCACCGACGCCGCCTTCGTGTGCCACAGTGCCGGCCTTCATGGGTTGCTGCTGCCCGCTAACAACACTTGCCCAAGCAGTCCGTCAAGGCTACGCGGGGGATCTTTGTCTGTGTGATGTTCCTCCATGCGTCGTGCGTGCACCCCTCTCGGCATTTGCGTGAAACCGCCCGGCGCAGGCTGAGCGAAGGAAGCGGGCGGGCGGGCGGGCGGGCTGCGGATTGACGAGACGCCACCCACGCGTGCCAAGCCCAAGGCGTGAGCTACATGTTAATGCGCGCGCGCGCACGCACGCAGACAAAGATACCCCGTATAGCCTTTGCAGACTTCTGGGGCAAGTGCCGTTCGCGAGTAGCGGCTGACGAAGGCCGGCACGGCACACGAGGGGGGTGGGTGGGTGGGTGGTCAGCACCATGCCCGGCCGCCTTTGTCTCCCTCGTGGCGATGTTCACACATCTAACCAAGTACTCGTTTGAGGCTGAGTCGACCTAGAGTCGAGGCGCAGAACCCGTTCAGATAATTCGCCACCGATGTTGGCTGTGAGCGGAAATCAAACTGGGGTCGTCAAGTTCGTAGCCCAGGGAGCTAATCACTGCGCCACCGCTCCCCATACGTGGTATTGTTGGCCACCGCTCACAGCATTTGCCCTAGGTCTGTTAAAGGCTATAAGGGGGATCTTTGGCTGCGTGTGTGTCACAACAAGCGGTGTAGTGGTGAGCGCACTGCGCTGCGAACCCGAGTTTGATTCCAGCTCACGGCCAACATCGGTGGCGAATATCTGAGAAAGGTCCTGGGCCTCCCCTAGGTTGGCTCAACCTTATACGAGTACCAAGTTGTGGCGTGTAAACATCAGCAGTGAGACAAAAGCGGCCGTGCGTGGTGCTGACCAGCCACCCCTCATGTGCTGTGCCGGTCTTAATAGGCGTTCGCGAACAGCACTTGCCCCCACAGGCAAAAGCATCGCAAAATGAATGTACATTTGCTCACATGAATGCACAAACATATATAATACATATTGAATATAATATGGAATACAGTCATATTCATCAGGCAAGAGTCAATAGACAAAGACGATCCCCTTTAGCAATGGGGATCTGGACTAAATAAAAGACGCCAATCAGAATGACACAGACATATAACTTGTATACAAAATGTAAATTTCATTTCCCTGCTGCAATGACTTGAAATTACTCGTGAGCAGCCACGACGGATGAAGCCCTCCCCAAGCTGTTGTCGTCTCTCCGTGCCCTGCAATGTAACAATCCACCGAGCACACGGCCCCATTTAAATGCTCCATCTCCCGACCACCGACCATCATATAATCTCTTTAAAGCTCGATTGTATTCTAATCATAACAACACCGATAAGTCATTTCGCAGCCCTTTATTTATCCTCTGCTGGACAAAGCCCTTCCCACACTGTCGGCCATTGGTGATGGGGATGTGGGGCCCAGGATCGTGAAAATATCAAATATCACTCACCACTGATGTTATCTATGGCCATATTGCCAGGTTCAAAGAGCAGTGTGCCAACCACTGTGCCACAGCTCTACCGCTAGATTATAAGGTATAATTGTACCCATGAGTACCACTTCGTCAGAATTCACCCATGGTTGTCTTGGAGATAAGATTCATCCATGCTACATGAATGTGGAATTTCCAGCACTGGCACCCAGCTGTAAAGTGATTCTGAAAATATCACTGTGCGGTAGCCATCTCGTTTGATGGTTCTCAGTTACTGGTGGGATTCCACATCTTAAGACATCAGCCATTCCGACCGCGGTCAATCGGGCGGCAATAATCAGTCATTATCAGTTATATCACAGAAATCCTCGTATGCCCGCTGATGTGGAGGACAAATATGTTATCTACGAAAAATTGTGGATGACCAAATATTGCAGATAACCGGAGATCAACGGGATTAATTTCCCCACCAAACCCACTTTTATTCTTTAAAAAAATGTGCTGATAATAGGTAGCCGTACCACAATGCAGGCAGGTATAAACATGGGTAATTGCAGATAATAGGACGAATAGGGCCTCAGGACCCTTTAAATCCTGCGAATCGTAAGAGTAGCAGGTAATGGCTCCATGAATAAGAGGAGCTCTGCATCAACAACAGTACAGTTACCCGTGTGCTATTCAGTGCCTCATTACGAAGCTGCTTGCGTTCCACGGTCGGCATTCATAAAAGCCGTGGTGCGTTTGTTGCCCCAATCCCACAGCACAAGCGAGTCGGCAGGCTGAGATGAGATGTATGTGCGATTAATAATAAACCCAGCAGGCAGCATCACCTACGTCTTCGCAGTGCAAGGACAAGCACAGATAAGCAGAGCCTGCCATTTCCATTGTTCATCATAACCAAGGTGGCTGTCATTAGCAGGGGGCCCGATTCATGTCGAGGTTGCTTTTGCGGAAATTCCAGCATAATTCGGAAATTCTACATTAGCGATTTCGTCGATTTCACGAAGCAGCTATGTCCCAAGTTTACCGTGTAGAATTGACAGCAGCCCCAGAATAGGCAACAACAACAACAACAAAAATCGTGCAGCCAATCAGTAGCTGCGAGAGTGCCATTGGGAATCAGGGCTCTGAGTACTGATGTTGGTTTGCTCGCCCTGCCAGTGCTCCGAGACAACCAATCAGGATCTGTCCGTCTCCCATACGCGCACGCACGCATACACACACACACACGCATGCATACACACACATACGCATGCATACACACACACGCACGCATACACACACGCATACACACACGCACGCGTACACACGCACGCATACACACACACGCATGCATACACACACGCATACACACACGCACGCATACACACACGCGCACGCATACACACACGCACGCATACATACACACACGCATGCATACACACACACACGCATGCATACACACACGCACGCACACACACGCACGCATACACACACACACACACACGTGTGTGTGTGTGTGAATGTACGTGCGTCGAAACTTTGGGCCATTAGCGCGTGAATTAAAAAATGCGGAATATTTTCAGTTTGTGCATGACAATGGGCCGTCATTTTGCCAAGGGGTGGCAGGATGACGGCCAGAACAGCCAAACCGAGTGGGGTGCGCGCGCGAATGTTTTCTTGTGGCAGTTTATTCTCTTTAACGCATTTCTGCAATTGCATCTATGTACAGGTCGCGATGGCCTATGTACCTGCGTCGATTGCTGCGGTTAGTCAAGCACCGGCACGCTCTGTGATGGGGTGGGGCGGTCACCAGCAATGACTCCGTGCCTTCGTTCTCCCAGCACCGATGTTTTCACAGGACACAACAAGTACTGATTTAAGGCTGAGTCGATCTAGGGGAGGCCTGGGGCAGGTGAGATACCGCTTGCCACTCATGTTGTGCATGGCCAGCAATCACGCCTATGTTATGGTTTCAACACTCATTTTAGTCGTATAGGCTGTACGTTGAAGACTTCTTAGTGAGCACCTATTAAGATGGGTACGGCTCATTCAGGAGTGATGTGGCCAATACCAATTCTTGTCATTTTATTTTAATCTGCACTGCTGAT